AACTGGAAAGATGGCAACTGAACTGCAGGGCTTGAGTGACAGTTAAGGTAGATATGAAATTAGCTACCAGATATGCACAGTACAATCACTTTTCCAGTGACGTGTTTTCCCGTTAGGACATTGGAGCTGCAGGCCAGCTTTTCTGAAGCCTTTGTGTATATTTGCAAACACCTAACCCAGGCACAAGGATTCCCAACATGCATGAAAGTCAAAGTCCGCATGTGGACGTGACCCTGCGAATTGGATGTGCACCCTTGTGCAAGGCTGGGCCATCCGTTAGCTCTGAAATGCAGAGATCTTGGTAGCATGTGGATTGTGATGCAAGCGCCCACGCAAGCCAGTCAGCTCAGTTAGGTAGTAAGCTTCCCACAGAGAGGCACAGTGGGTTGCAGTTAGCTGATTTCCCCTCTTCTTTAGTTGTGTCTCAGACATCAAGGCAGCTTTATTGCTGGGGTCTTCCCCACACTGGGGCAACGCTAAACTACACTAACCCCTCCGAAGGGGAGCAGCAGCAGAGGAGATCGGTGGAACACAAATACAGACCTGGCTGTGGGCCTGAGCTTGCCCTAGTGTCTGCCCATAGTAGGCAGCCTGCTGTCTGTAATACTCCGCCCATGCCATTGTGTAGTCCGGCTGGGAACTTGCCTGAGAAGCAGCACTGGCAGCGTGACCTGGATGACGAAAAGGAAACACAGGTAGTCGAGAACCGGCAACAGCAAACCAACAAACATACACACTTACGATACTGTTTTGTAATGTTTAAATACAGCAGACATCTGAAAATACAGCAGCAGCAGCTACCTGCCGTTTGGACAGAACAGGACACGTTTTAAGCAGACTTGCAGGTTATTAGTTGGTGCGGCACTTTGAAAGCATAACAATTATTCCCACTGTTCAGGGATACTTGGCTTGGAAATTCTGCTTTGTTCATCCTTTGAGTCCTCCAGGTGAGGAACAGCCAACAGCTCCAGAAGCTAGGGCATGAAAGCGGCCGGAGCGGCATTCCTCTGAACTGTCAACAAGACGACACCCCACCCCCGCAACTCCTCAGTCACCAAAGTACAGCGCTTTTCTTACACCTCGGAGAGCACGCCCCACCCGCCTTCAGGCCTTTTGTCAGTTCTTGTTCTACTCAGGCACAGGTACATGTGCCAACGTTTTCCTAATACAGTCCAACTTCTCGAGGTGCACCTGAAAGGGAACAAACAGTCCACTGGGGACTGTAGTTCATTGGCCTCACCTTGCCCTGAGATGGTGCAGTAACAAGCGAGACGTAAAGCTTTCTGTGGGAGAACTACAAGCACCCTTGCCAACAGGAGGGCACAGAAAGGGATTTGTAAGGGAATGGGACCTTATGATGCAAGGGAGTGGAGACAAGTTAATGGATTAGAGCTAACTCTGTTTATAACAGGAGTTTATTCATCTCCAGCGGCCCTGTTTCACTCACTCTGTTTTTTGTAATACTCCTCCCACGCCTTGCTGTAATCAGGCTGGCTGTTCTGCTGCTGGCTCTGTTGGCCTGTGCAAAGAGGACAACAACGGGCATGTCAATAAGGAACAGGTGACAAGTCTCTAGCTAGTGACATCTCCCCAACAGACAGCTCCTGGCTCCAAGTCTACTGCCCATGCCCTCAACAGTCCTCTTCACGCCTTGCTACAACAGGTGGGATTCTTCGCTTGGGACGAGCTATTTTAAAGAGTAAGGGTGCCTGAGTTGTCCCCATTTTAATCCTTTCCTCAGGGAGCAGCACACTAGTCTCCTACCTGTGGTGACCAGCTGAAGCCAAATTGACTTTGCTGGACAAACACTTAGCCAGCATCGCAAGCCATCCTAGGACAGAACCGGCAACCTCTGGAGAATGTTTACTACCTGGTACTACAGGAGAACTGAAGGGCACTGGCAGAACCATGATGGAGGAGGAAGACTGAACAGCACTGGCCGGTGCCAGTGAGCAAGACTGCCTGTGTCCTTGGCAGTTATATTCACATTCAAAAGAGGGGGACCTGGGATGGAAAAAAATGTGTACATCCCTGGTTGACAACCCAGTTTCTGCCAAGCCAAGCTCCTATGACAGAGCATCCAAGGAACCAGCTTGAGATCACTACGCTGTTCTTTACGTTCATCTCCGAACGGATTCTGAGGGGCTAGAATAGCCTCTGCTCATTCGGTGAAAGCACACTGCAAAGAGCCATCAATTAGAATATCTAGTTTGCAGTGTCTGTTGACACCCTGCATCCACACACAACAGCTATCCCATGCACCTTACAGGTGCTAGGCACGCCAGCCGGTTGCAGTACTTGGGATACAGTCTTTAGCTCAGTGTTAATGGAACCTGTGCAGCCTACCCTGGTTTTGTCGAAGCGTGGCAAGGGAGCCGCGAGCTCTGTGGCATGACCAACACCATCCCACAACGCTGTGCCTTGCATTCGGAAGCCATCCAAAAGACCTGCTTCCAGCAACAGTGATGCACACTATAGAGCAGGTTATTCTAGAAGTCCCAGAACACACCGGTGCCATGCTAGTTGGAAGGCATATGCTGGCAATGGATGCAGACACACGAAAGCTTGTCTCTCTGGCCAACAGAAGTCGGTCCAATAGAAGATTTTACCTCACCCCTGCCTGGTCTCTCACAAGAGAGCCAATCATTTTATAAAACATTTCTGCAGCCACTTCTCTAGTGACAGCACATGCACCCTTTGAAAAGAGTGAATCCAATTAATGGGCTCAGCATATCTAAGCTTCAACTAGGGGAGAGGCCAGCCACCTGGGCCCAAGGAACCCCCCTTACCCATACCATTATGGTTAATGCACAGGACCTGCAGAACCATGTGGCCGACTAACTAAAGAGCAATACAGACAATGTGCTAGTTAGAGACACAGCAAGGAAAGCCAGGCGGACTAAAATGCATAAGCGCTACACGAAAGCCACTGCATGCATTAGACTGGTGGGTGAGGATGGGAGGCACAAAGAAAAAAACAAAACAAAAACTGAAGCATACTCTTCCTGGCGATCTAACTGCCTTCACTCTCCATACTCAATTCTGGGTGCTGCCCTGCACTGCAACACAGGCTGAAGAGAGCTTTGAAGTGGCAGGGGCGGGGGGGGGAAGGGTGAACATAATACACTGAAAGTGTGAAGTGGGTGGAGGAAACAGGACAGCAGTGTCCTGTCCAGGGGCATAAAAGCGGGTTAAAAGACTTGACCAAAGCTACAAGTCAAGACCTTTTCTTGCAGAGGTCAGGGCTGCCTTGACTGTCCACCTGCTAATGCCAACAAAGGACCTCCTTCAATGCCTTTTCTTCTAGGAGAATTACAGTCCGCAGTGGGCTGAAAGGACACGCCACTAAATACATTTCACGGCAAAATGTTTTACCCGGCCAGTTAATTTATTTAAGATGGGCGAGAAGTAATTAAAATCTAAATACATGTGTAGGGTTGGGGGGTCTGCCCCTTCTCTCACAAGGGGGCTGTGCTAGTGAAAGGGAAGAGGGGGGACATTCTAGAATTTGCTCATGGAAAGTCTGTTCTGAAGAGTGATTCATCTGGTTCTTTGACAATGCTAATGAGACCACGGAAACCAGGCTGCGACACTTGCTTTAGAACAGGCTGGGAAGGAAATGGTCAGAAGCGGATTTTAGATAAACCTTTATGTGTAAAAACAAGAAGTTGTAGGAGACAGGTATTTACCTAGTTTCTTATAATAATCCTCCCACGCCTTGGTGAACTCCACCTGGCCTGACTGGGTACCATTGTGATCTGCAGCAGGAGAAGAAAGCAGTGAGGTCTGCTTAAAGCACAGCATTATCTTGTCTGTCCTCTCTCTTTACCAAGACTGCCTTCAGAGTGTGCCTGGCTATAAACAGGAACATGGAGGATTCTAAGTGGACATGGAACGGAACAGCCAACATTCCCACCAGGTTTAATAGTAGTGATGCAAGACACCTGACCCAGAGCACAGCAGGGGTGGTACGGACCCCAGCCAGTAAAGGGTTTGCCCAAAGGTTTACAGTTTGGAGCCTCAGGAAGCATTTGGGGGAGTGGGGAAGGGGGCGTGCTTTTTCATCTGTGTCTGGCTTGGTGTTTGTGCCATTGTGACTTCTGCATGCAAACAGGCCCCAAATCTGATCGGGGCTGGTGGCAGGGTGGCCAATGAACAGCCTTCACTTATCCCATCGGCTCATAGCCCAAGTCTGCTGACCTTCAAGGTGCGGTGCAAAGCCCATCTCTCTTCTTAAACCTTTGCTTGAGGAAGGGTGGGATATGTATGGGAGAGTTATTTTAGGAGGATTTTTCCTTTGTAAATAATTGCTCTTGGACAGCAAAGTTTGTGCAGATTTTTTTTGGTGGCGAAGGACTCCCCTTGTTCTCATGCAAAATATTAAGTTATCTGGGGTGTTGGTTTTTTTTTAAATGTACACACTCTGAGGCAAGTACAGCATGTTTCAGAAATGTAAAAGGAAGCACACCCAAAGCTTTTTTACATGAAAGCAGAGATAAGAGCCTGGAGCGTACAGGAATGGTGAGGAAGCCTGCATGATAGCTCTGATCCCAGGACAGGGGAGTCAAGATATTAACGGTACCCTTCCCTGCTTCATTCAAGTAATGTTAGCAGAGTTCTACTAACTGCTTTCCCCATGCAGAAAAGAGTGTATTGTGGACATGGTGTTTGATCTTTAAGTCAGAAAGTTATGATGGAGTTCCTAAAACCCAGGACAGGCTGCCCTCCCGAACTCAAAGCAAACTGAAAATAATTGCAAGTAGCATATTTCTAGTGTTACAAAGTAAAGGTAGCAGGAAAACATTAGTGACCATTAGTACCTTACTATAATGCTACCTAGTGAAGGAGTACATTTGGGTGCTTGCATCACTTTACTACTTTGAGCAATTTGAACTACAGATCCACTATAATTATTTACAGTTCAATGCTTCCTAGACTGTATGTTCCTTGGGGCACAGACTGTGTCTTTGAAAGTGTCTGTACAGAGATTAGGACAAATGGGCCCCTGTTCCCAATTGGAGCCCCTTTATGCTATTGTAACATATATATTAGAAACGTTAAGTTAATAATGCACTATGGCAGGGGATTTCCATGAACAAGATGCAGAATATTCAGAGTTATGGTTTCCATGGCACCAAATTTTAGTCTCTGATCTTGGAAATATGGATACAGCTGCACTTATAATCACTGTGCAGCACTCCAGGTGGTATGTATAACTGGAGTGCTACATCTTGAGAAGGTCTGTTAGTGGGAAACTGCATGCTACAGGCAGCAACCAGTTTTCAGATTCTTGTTTCTAAACCAAACATAACACTTAAAAAGACACTTGCCATTCCTAAGAAGTTTGAAAGGCTTATTTTTAAAACTTATTCAAGTATTTAAAAATGTACAGAAAGTTCTCTCAGCACCTGAAATACCCCATATCATCCCAACACAGGTGAAGAGAATTGTACCAAGTTTCTGAACAGATTCACCTTTTGGCTGAGGGAAGGCATAAGAAGTTTCTGAAAGAAGTAGCCTCTTGGTCTGAAAGTTTAGGCCTCTGTTAAGAGTTAAAGTGAAACCATCTCAACCAGAAGAGAAAAATATTAACTTTGGGATTGCTGACAAACTGAAGTTGGTGTTTGCGTGAAATGACTGCTCCATGTGTTAGAGTGACATGTAGGAGAATGGCATTGCTGGAGCCACCTAAACTAAGGAGGGTCTGTTGTTCTCCCAATCTGAACTGGTTGGGGGTTTAAACAATCAGGAGGTCAAACGCCTGGCTTGGAGCAATAGCCACTCAAAGCAGGCACCTCTGCAGCCCAGTTGGCCCAGCAAGCAAACAGCTGCAGATCGGCTTTTCTGGGCTGGTGAATGGAGTGAAGGACAGAAGTTTTGGAACTCTGACCAACAATGAATTTGTAATTTACTTTTAGCCATGTGACCAACTTGTCCTGTTTAACCGGTAAGGCGCTGACTAATTCCCAGAGTTTAACAGCTTTGGTGCTAGTCAGTACTTACAACCTTTCAGGGACATGCTATTCCAGTAAGGGGTGGGGGTTATTCTGTGTCACAGGGAGGTGGAACTAGGACAGGAGCCAATCCTACCTTCTTCACCAACCAACCCCCTCTCTTCTCCATTCATTCATTGCTCCCAGAATCCCAATCTTTCCTTCAGGCTGAGAAACAAGTGGTGAGGGCAGCTCACATAAGGAGAGCAGGGGAATAGCAAAGAGAATCAGGAGTCAGGAGCAGAAAGGAGGTGGGCTGCTAATGACAGGCTGTGTGGCTAGTGGGAGGGAATGGTGCTGTCCAGTGCTCCATTGGGGAAGGCAGGAGGGGAGAGAGTCTAGAGAGGTGGGAAGGTTCTTGTTAGGGGGGAGCAGGGAGGGAGTCCAAGCTCCTGCAGGAAAGAGGGGTGGACACTTAAAACAAGCAGCTAACAGCAAAGAGTGATTTATAACAGGTTCTCTGCGTGCCTTCAATTTATGTTACACTAGTATAATCAGGAGCATTGATCCTTTACTCCAGGGTGCACCTGCATGCATGCACTTTAATTGTGTAACTTCTTCTACCATCTTCCATACGAGTGGGCTCACGAGACCTGCAGTTGTGTACCTGTGTGGAGTACAGATTAACTTTTGGACTTTTCTCAAACCAAAAGGCTAACTACTTACTTGGGACTTGCTGTCCAGGCTGTTGCCACGTCTGGTAGGTGCTGCCCCAACCCTGTGTCATGAATGCCTGAGGACCACTGTGGATTATAATACCATACACTGAAGCAGATGGACAGAACATTTTCTTAATAGATCATATGCACAAAAACAGTAACAGCATCAAAATGATTAGGAGTCAGCAGCTGCTAAGGCAAGAATTAATGCAAAAATAGGGGGAAACTCCTGACTGGTCCAATACTGGAGAAGTGAGCCTGAAGGCCTTCTTTAAGTTATTGTTAGCAGAGCTGAAAGGAGGGCACATCAAACCTCACTCAGACTTGAGGCCAACAGTATCCGTTGCTAATTTAAATTTCTTTCCACACCCTTGCTGAATTGATGGTGGGCGTTCTTAGATGTGGCAGGAACTGGCAGCTCCAATTAGGAGTTTTCTATAATTGGGCTTCAAAGCTTCATCTCACTCATCCTTGGATTCGGGAGTCTTCAATCTGACTTTCTACAAGTTTTCACTTATTCTTAAACCTTCACGCCTCAATCTAAAATGCTCACATTCATGCTCCCTACGTTAAGAGTCCACAGGACGTTGTGGAAACTTACTTTTGATGAGGTGTAGCAGGTGCTTGGCTGAAAGGATTTTGACCAAAACCGCCAGGTCCACCCATGCTGGTACCCTGTCACAGAATTCACAAACACTGAATGTTATAATTCCTCCCACCATTTTAAAAAACAAAAACAAAACCCCAGCCACTATGTTTAGATCAAGAGTAAGAAAAGGGACCAGAAAGCACGGGACATACCACTCATGGCACCAATTCTGAAAGTGTAAAATTCCCAAAAGCGCCTAAGTGAATTGGGAGCCCATTTTTGAAAACTGCTTAGGCTCCTAAGTGTCTTGCTGAAAGCCAGTGGGACTTAGGAATGTATGAAAGTGTTTCACTATATGTACTCCAAGATCGAAAACTCTCTCCTAGATTAGATTTTAAGGTCAGAAGGGACCATTATGATAGTCTAGTCTGATCTCCTGCACAACGCAGGCCATAGAATCTCACCCACCCACTCCTGTAATAAACCCCTAACCTATGCCTGAACTACTGAAGTCCTCAAATCATGGTTTAAAGACTTCAAGGTGCAGAGAATCCTCCAGCAAGTGACCCGTGCCCCACGCTGCAGAGGAAGGCGAAACCTCCCCAGGGTCTCTGCCAATCTGCCCTGGAGGAAAATTCCTTCCTGACCCCAAATATGGCGATCAGCTAAACCCTGAGCATGTGGGCAAGACTCACCAGCCAGCACCCAGGAAACAATTCTCTGTAGTAACTCAGATCCCATCTAACATCCCATCACAGGCCATTGGGCATATTTACTGCTAATAGTCAAAGAATTCAGTATAAAGGCTGCTTTTTCAGTTTTACAAGGTCCCACTTCAGTATTTTCTCATCTCCTTTTACCCAAGTCTCACCTGACTAGGTTCTTTGGCCTGGTTCCATTACGCTGCAACACCCATGGCTTTGTAACAGGTAGATTAAGAGCCACCATAGAGCCACTACAGTAACAGCAGTCTGTAGTGTCACAGAGATCCTGCCACCCCCTTTGTGCACTTCTGTAATCCCCAAGTAGAAACATAGCTCAGTCTTCTCCCCCAGATCTGATTTCAGACACCCTTTTGGTACCCTACAAGATCTCTTCTGGCAAAGCATTAGATTTTCCATCCATCACAGAGCAGCAGACCAGACTGGATTACTGAAGCAGGCTTCTGGGAGAAACATTCCAGGCTACAGTAAATCCATCCATATTAATCCAGGTCTACTGGAGGGCCAGTTCGGACATTTCAGGCTGTCTGCTCACAAGCATGTTGTTTCGAAGCCGGACTATCAACACCACAAAATGCAGAAGTTTGTGCCCCCGCCTACCCAAACCTTTATCAGTAAAAACACAACGCCAACTAAAACCAGTTCAGAAGCAATACCACATGACACTTACACCAACTTTCTCATCTATGAGATGTCTAGCGAGCTCAATCTGTTGAGGAACTCCTCTGATGGTGAATATCCGTACGCTAGGGTCCGTGTTGGGAGGTGGATTTCTTTGCAGCTCCACATGGGCTCCTGACTGCTGGTTTATGCTCTTGATGTTCTCTCCACCTGCAGAAAAGGGAAATCAAGGTACGAGAAGAGATGAGCATACAACATTTCATTTATATAGAGAGATGATTATCATGATTTCCAAAGCTACGTCCTACAGCTGGAATAGATTTTTCCCCCCTACCCTTGTGTCTGCTCTAAGCAGTGAAGGAAACACTATAGTGAATATAGTCATAATACTTTGGCTCACATCCCCACCACACTCCTCTCCATTTATTTATAAGTGCACCCAGAGACCAAGTCTTTGCTGCTACATGCCAGACTTCTGTCTCTTACTGGGTCAGCCAATGCCACTTAGCGTCTGAAGAAGGGTATGTACCTTAGTGCCTTTGCACACTTCGCTGGGCTGCTAAGCAAATTCAGTATTACTGGCACATATTTTGTGAACAACGAAGACCAAAGACAAGGATTCTTCCTGCTAATTTACCACCATCTCTTACCCTTCGGGCCAGCGAATCAGTACAAACGCAGAAGTTATTTCTCAAGAAAAGTAACTGAGACGGATCCATTGTTATTCTTCCTCACTTTAAGGCTACACGTTCAATGCCGAAACAGTTGTTTTGTTTGTTTGACAGCACGACAGCTAAGGTGCATTACTTATCTCACTGTAAAACACACCTTTTTTAGCAGTGAGGACAAAGCCTGGTAGTTTTCCTGTGGTTATGCATCATTCAATAGGTGCTTTCCTTAAAATCCTACTGGCTCCTGCAGCCACTTCCCACTTGCAATGCAGCACAAATGGCTACACACACTTCTGGAACAATGCAAGGTTCACAGTTGCCAGCCTGTCACTTCACAGCTAGAGTTCAGACTTGTATACACGAGGAAATTAACCACAATAGCTACTCAAAACAGCTCCCCATGTGGACACTTACCACAGAATAAGAGTGTCCACATGGGGAATTATTCAAGCTTTAAATTCACAGCCTACCTTAAGCTGAAATAACTTTCAAGTGTAGACATGTCCTTTAGTGCATCTTTGGCAAACATATGAACAGTGAATCAGCTCTCTCAGATAAGTGAACACACAAGAGTACTCTTAGGCACACTGGAGCTAATGAAATCTGGTTTGACTTCGTGAAAAAACTTGCGAGGTCTCAGTCTCTTAATGAAATTTGCTTAACAAAAGCTTCAGCCGATGTTACAATGGTTCAATTCTTCTTTTGGAATTTCACAGAACTTACAGATCAGCGCCACTCAACTGGAGAAAAGAGGGTGGGGGGAAAGTTTTACAGCTCTGATTCCTACAGACCTAGATAAGGGCACTAGCTGAAACACACACTGCAAGGGGGAGAAAAGGACACTAATGAGCAATTGAGCAAAAAAGTTGATTAAAAAGTGTACCCATAAGTAGCTTCCCTGTTTTTGCCAGTGTTCCTAAAACCAGCCCTGAACACAACTTCAAGACGAAGTGTGGACATTGAGTACGTTTGTTCATTTCACTGTAAAACTTGTGACCTTTTCAACATTCTATACCCCCTTTTGTGGGAGGAAGAGTCACCCCTAGGCAATTAACTCTTTCTAGATGCATTTTGGGGGATTAGAGAAGTTTTTATGCCACATCCTTCCTTATGCAGGCAAAACAGATTATCCTGTGCAGCCAAATAGGAAACCATCCATTTCAACTGTGATTTGGAAAGTTATGAGAGGAATTTTGAAACAAGAATGGTTTCATTTAAGATGTTAGGATGTGTGCACAATCAACTGAGAGTCTTGGGGCCTGCTTATGTGCTCACTAGGCTGCCATATGGAATGGAAGAAAGTTTTACACACTTTTAGCCTGCCTAGTTGTGAGCGCATAGCAAGGAAGAGAACTTGGTATCAGTGACGGATGCTAATGTGAACATCAAAGCAAAACTATGTGTAACCTCTCCTGAGCTCTAAATATCTTCCTTCTGACTTGCTATCCTTGCCCAGTTGCAAATGACCACAATGTCTTTAGTTTCAAATTGTCTCCATAGTGAGCATTTCACATTTCATTATGCAAGTTACCAAGAGCAGAAATCTTTAGGGGAAGCTATTAATTGTGGGTCTGTTTCCCACCAGCTTCTTCTTTTACCATTCTGCACCGAGTGAAATGAGTTCTCTCTAGGCTTGTTCACAAAAGGTTGTATGTTAATCCCTCTAAACACTGCACATTCTTGGCTATCAGACTCCTTCTACCTCTGACACACCAAAAGGTACTCCCCTCCCATTCGAGATAGCTTCTCACTATGCCTTTGGAGCATACAAATACGATGAAGCAGCCAAAATGATGCTGTAGTGTCGGAAGGAGTTCACCTTCCTTCTTAATGAGGTCACCCGCTCGGCGCATGGTGGCTGTCTATAGACTTATTTGGCAGCTTGCTCCATTCTTCTACCTGACGGGGGGCAGAAATGATCCAGGAGTGGCCCCCCAGCTGGACGTGAAATTGTAAAGCAATTAATCAAACCTGCTAAAAGGCAGAGCTGACAAGAGCCGGGCCAGCCACGTTATCTGTCAATATTGCTGTATTTATCATGGAAATCCAGCGGGGCCCCTGAGAGGCTGCAGTTTGTTTCCAGGCACCAGCACACAGAAAAAGCACTTGACATTTGTATGGCTTTCCACTCCACCCTTCACCAAGTCTTTCAGACAAGAAAAGCTGCACCTACCCACCCCTAGAGGAAAAAAATACAAACAACTTTCAGTGAGCCTTCGCATTTCCTTATTAAGCCACAGAACGCTCACCATGCTCATGTGGAAAAGGCACTGGGGTCAGTTACTGCGTGCACGGCTGATACAAAGCTTGTAACAATCCGGCCTGAATTCCTCTTCCTCCTCTGACCCCCTCAAGGACAGTTTTTAAGGTAACAAGGAATATGGCAGGTACTAACATCTACCCTTTTGTAGACATGGTGCTCATGCATGTGTCAGCTTCAGATCCTGTAGAGCAGGGGAAGGCAACCTATGGCCCGCGTGCCAAGGCGGCATGCGAGCTGATTTTCAGTGGCACTCACACTACCCGGGTCCTGGCCACCGGTCCGGGGGCTCTGCATTTTAATTTAATTTTAAATGAAGCTTCTTAAACATTTTAAAAACCTTATTTACTTTACATACAACAATAGTTTAGTCGTATATTATAGACTTGTAGAAAGAGACCTTCTAAAAACGTTAATTTATTATTGGCACGCGAAACCTTAAATTAGAGTGAATAAATGAAGACTCGGCACATCACTTCTGAAAGTTTCTGACCCCTGCTGTAGAGGATGGATGGTCCAAAGGTGAGGGACTAGCTTGGAACCCGAGTTCAGGTCCTTGCTCTGCCACAGACTTTCTACATGACCTTGGGCAAGCCACTTAGCCTCTCTGATTCCCAACATTACAATGGAGTTAACAGCATTGCCCTGCCTCACAGAATGTTTGTGAGGATAAATACTTTAAAGATTGTGAGGCCAGATAAGTACCCAAAATAGTCTAGATTACATGAAATTCATAGTCTTCAACATGAAAGGTCCAATTCTAAAGCAGCCTATTTTTAGTTTCATTACGTTACTTAGAATTTTTTCCAGTCAAAATAAATAACTCTTATTCCAAATTCTTTAATCCTAAACACACTGTCACCCCAGGATTATAACGATTATGTTACAGCTGTATGATTAACAAACCGAATTTACAGAAATTGCTCTAGTGACCCCTGCTGTACTGATACATCTGTTTCCATTATATGTCAAAAAAATTGGAGTTAGTAAGAAAAAAGCCAAGTCCCTACTCTGAACTGCATTTCCCAGAGTCTTCTTTCACATCAGTCTCATGACTGTAGTTAATGACTGAAGAAAATGGTTAAAATATAATGAGAAGATTAAGTGATTTATTCTCAGTCAGATGCAGTATTAGAATCTCATTCACATGGAAATTTTCCATTAAAGAGCCAACTTGGGACTCTGCTCTTAATTTCTCTGTGGAAGCAGCCCCTAGAGTTTCACCGGCTGACCCATCCAGAAATTTAGCTTCAATACTCCAAGTGCCAAATGGCTAAACCCCTTATCCCCAGCCAGGCCTAGGTGTTTTAGAATAGAGGATTCCTATTTGGCCATCCATAAGAAAGAGTATTAACCTTGGAAATAACATCCCACTTGACATACAGGTGACAAAAGATCAGAAATAGTGGGAGCGTGGGAAGAGAACTGACTGACACAGAAGGCTCTGAAAATGAGTGTCATATCCATTTCTCATCCAAGACTCCCAGGAGACAAAGCTACAGCCATCACTCCCAACAAACAGATAAAAACGAACTAACAATACCAGTGTAAATACCCCAATAGTACTGATTGCAAGTAAATATTACACAACTTCAAATGTTCAAAGCACTGTACAGTCATTAATAATCAATCCTCTGAAAGCCTCGGGTAAGCGGTCCCATTTTACTGACGGGGAAACCAAAGTACAATGGCTTACACCCACAGTCACACGGCAAGACTCTGGCAGGGCCAGCATTAGAATTCAGGAGCTTCTCACACCTAACCCTGTGTTCGCTCCTCCAGATCACAGCGCTTATGTTAAAGAGACAACATTTCTATACATTGTGGAAACCCAAGTTACTTTTCTGTACTTTCTAATGGTTACTGTATTGGTAGCTACTGCAATGGTTAAAATAGCAATGGTAGTTTCCATTATTATATTTTACCATGCTGACAACTTTTGCTTTTGAGAATAACTTTCCTTTGCTTGGTCTCTGCCCTGACAGGATTTTTTGTTGAAAGACTGAGCACAATATCTTCAGCTGTTTCTGAATTATGAGGGAACAAAAGCACTTTTTGCATTGCTAATACATTTTCACTACACTTGTGAATAGGGTTACAGCAAAAACTAAGCCTGAAACTGTTTAGAGAGTTTCCTTAAAGCTTTCTATAGGAGGAGGGGGGAAAGAGGACGAGACTGGGAATGGGGAGATTTGAAGGGAATTAATTCTAAAAACTGAACTTTCTTAAAGCAGTCAGCCCTAAGCATGTTCACAGCAGCATCTGAAAAGTCTTAATGAAGGCCAATTCCTTTATGATTTTCACAGCACATTCATCCTGCCCAATGATAATTGGTATAAAGTGCTGGTACACTTCATGAGAAAAGCCAAATGTCACTGGAACATGGCAAAATCCCCTCAAAACCACACTAACACCAAGTGCAGAAGAAAATAGTAAGAAAAGAGAAAAACAAACAGAGCCTCTTCTCTTGAATTTAAGAGCACTGCCACACTTCTGGCTGCATTCTGCAAATTCCAAGCTTTTATTTTCAATGATGTATAGACATCACTATGCCACAAATGTAACAGGGAAGCAGCAATCCAGCCTGGCAGAAAATTCTCTAGCCAGCAGCAAAGAGGGAACCCACTGCTACCTGATTTACCTCAACTCCAGGGACACTAAAAGCAGAATTGGGACTATTGAAATGCTAACATTAAGCACACAGAATAATTCTTTTCTAGAGTATGGAGAAATTAAATACAAACTACTTTCATGTGTTAGTGTTGTAGTTAAAAAAAAACCCCACAAAGTCCTGATTCCAACATTAACTCAGGTGCATTGCACCAGTGCAGAATTTCTATTCCGGTTTCTAGTTAAATATAGTTATGGTGCACACTTTATAACATGACGACACACAGAGCCAAGTTACAACTGCTGTTGAAGCCTTCACCTTTGCACTTGGTATTGTTTGATTGGGACACAACTGTTCTAAGAAGGGAACACAAATGTTTCCATTACTGTGGTACACTTGAGTTCAATGACTAGGCAGCAGTGTTATGCCAACTACAGACTCCAGGCAAGCTAAGGAGTCCTAGGCACTCATAGGGCACCTGCCCAGTCTATTATGCACCAGGAGATTAAATTCAGTGGGTAGGTTAGATCTTGCTGTTTCCAGACAGACTTCTAACTTAAAGGTGACTACATCAGCAAGTGACTACTTGTAGCCCAGCTTATCTCCATGGACAAGGAGATACAACATTCGCTCCAACAAGAAGTACCATGCAATGGAATGTAAACTAAATACAAGACAAAAGGGTACCACTATAGAAAAGCAGCTGTTTTGTCTAGCCCCTTGCACTTTAAACCACTCTGATAGAAAGGGTCCTCAAAAGGACCTAAGGCTTTTCATGAGATGCTGCTTTGCACAACATGTACACCTGACCTGATAACCCAGAGTACAACTTTTCTGCATGCACAAACCCCCTTCCTCATATTAAAAAAAGCCTAGAAAGTACACTTGTGAAACAAGGCATCAGAAGGAAGCATACAGAGAGCATCTGCCTTACTAGGTGGTTATGCTTACTAAGTTCCTCCTATGTTGTATGGTCATGGTCACTGAACCACAATTTTCAATACTGGAAATACCACAGCCACTCCAGTAAAGTTTAGGAACCCCCATTTGAGACGGAGATTACATCTCAGAGCGTCATGTCAGCAGCACCTACCTTTGCCTATAACAAGACCACACTTATCAGCTGGCACCGTGTAGGTTATTTCCTGCATCCCCCCAGGTGTCCCAACGCTCCAGTCCCCACGACCACGACCTCTTCCCCGGGCTACTGCCAGACTTCCAAAGCCATCTCGTTCCTTGAAGGGAAAAAACAGCATTTCCATCAATATTTTTTCTGACCCCAATACCTGTACTACTAATTTGCCACATTAAAAAAAGGCAAAGTAGAGTTTAAACTGCATGATATAATCAATACCACTAATATCACTAAACTAGGGAACTCCTGGCCTTCATCTCTGTATGTGAGATTCTGAAGGTCACAGGTGTCTTCCTGATTCTGTAGGTTTATTTCAGCAAGTAGATATAAATGCATGCCTTCAAACAGAATATCCTTTTGTAACCGACAGGTATGCAGAAACTCAAAGTCCTTTTAGCTGCTGGGCTCCAATCTGAGCAGGGCTCGTTACCTAAGCTTTCCTGAGCAAACCAGAAACCTTAGCGTTAATGCACACTGTTTGGCACCAAAGGCCTCATAGAAGCCAAAAGTTAACCCTCTCAGATGCCAATTACCGTGAGAACTACTGGAATCCCTCAGCTGAAATACACATTGCTCCAAATCAACTTGAACCTCCAACCAACGTTGTCCAAATTCAAAGAAATGTTAGGTCAGGATAAAAGAATCCACATGCTTTATCTGCAAAGTAAAAGCCCTCTGCTGTCACAGGCCAATGTCAGAGAGGATGCAAAGATTAAGTGGCTGAGGAAAGGATTTGCCCATGTATGTAAAGAGGTTTTCAAACAGCACTGGGAAGAGCCACAAAAGGCTGTTTTTTCCCCCCACGGCCTTCCAGAAAGATCAGTGGAGCTTTCCAGCCCTAGAGCCTTTTCAGAACAGCACAAGGATGGGTATCCAGGGTACAGATCCATTAGCTAGAACCTGCAGAAAAGATCCAGGAAGCAAAGAGCTCTTTGTGCGCTCAGTTCGTGTTCTGCCGTTCTGAGCACTTCTCACCCTTATCAAGCACTGTGGTAGAGGCAAGCTTTTCCATGCTAAGCCCAACCCTCAAGTCCAGGATTTCCCCCCCCAATCAGGATAGATACAAATTGATCTTTTTTTTTTTGAAAAAGTGAAAATTGGATTTTTTAAATTTAAATCAGATTTATTTGGTTATTTAAATGCTAATTACATTTTTCTTTTTAAAAATAAACCCGTTTAAAATGAAATCTGAATGTAAACGAAATATTAAGGCCTAAACTTATTATAATCTCTTAAAATGTTTAAATATAAAATAAATATGTTGAATCCATGAGTTTATTTCAAAAACTGAGATCAAGGCTGCTTTTCTATATAAAAAGCAATTAGGGGAAAAACATCTAACTTTTGAGGTCAAGCTTTAGCACAGCAGGCCATGTGTTATATTAATGGCCTGATCCTGTGGGGCGCCCAGAGGCTATGCTACTGGGTGCAAGAGACTGGCAAAGTCACCACAGGCATTGGGACCCTACCTCTGACTCCAGAAGACACCATCGTGTATCTCATCAGGCCAGGGCCGGCTCCTGGGTTTTGGCCGCCCCAAGCAGCCAAACAAACAAGAAAAAGCCGCGATCGTGATCTGTGGCGGCAATTCGGCAGGAGGTCCTTTGCTCTGAGCAGGAGAGAGGGACCGTCCGCTGAATTGCCGCCGAACAGCTGGACGTGCCGCCCCTCTCCGAAGTGGCCGCCCCAAGCACCTGCTTGGTAAGCTGGTGCCTGGAGCCGGCCCTGCATCAGGCTCATCCACTGAGCCCATCTGGGTGGTCTCATACTCCTATTTTATAGCTTCTCCCTATTTGAGCTCTGATAGGTTCAAATCTCAAATTAAAAATATTTATGACTCCACCCACCATGGATACTTGCTCTCCAGCTCATGGAAAGATATTGATCTGTCCAGTAACTACCAGTCCTTGCTTCTGGATGGTTTTGGGTACTTCAAGTAAATGGCCTTACTCTGTCTCCTTGCATGTGTACACAGAGATACAAAAAACAGAAATCCATTAATTTCTCAGCTGCTTTCCTCTGCTGCTAAACAAATAAAATCTAAAAGGCACATGGGTTACGCGAGCAGAAGGCTCGGAGCGTGATTACTTCTTGTGTTTTCTGCAGGTACTGGTGGGGGAGTTATGTAACAAGGGAGAAGGAACAGAGTGTGCAACCAGAAAGGAGCAAGACTGGTGTCAAAGCAGGACACTGTGGGTATCTGAGTGCAGCTGCTAGGGTTGATTTCAACACTAGGGAACTGGAGAAAAAACCTGTCATGGCTGCAGCTTGTACAAAAGACCCTATTTGGGAATATTTTCAAGAAATTCTTGGACCTCTGGGTAAAAAAAGAAACACATACCGAATGTAAACAGTGCAACAAAGAGATGCAAGGCCTGGTGGTCAGAATGAAACATTATGAAAAGTGCTCCTCAAAAGGCAAAGTCTTTGAAGATGAGGTGGATGTGTCTGAACCATCTGATTAATTTTTCACCATTCTTATGGACAGCCTACCCTGTCTTACTATGCTAGTAAATGATAACTTAGATTACTGTCATAAATGTGTTTTTTGGGGGAGAGATTACTTGTGAATTTCAAAATGTGCGTTCAAAAGATAATTGGCATGTGAGTTTGTTGTGGGAGTATTTATCAATTACTTTTTGACTTATTGCTGGACTTCTGACATTTTTTATTGCTCAATATAATCAAACATCCCAGGTGAAGATTTCCTATTTAAAAGATTTTTAGGTATTAACTTCAACATTTAAAAAAAAGTCCCGTCCCCCCCCCCAACCAGTTCGGTATGTTGCTAGAGATAAGGGTTTAAATAGATTCAGACGATCCTCATGATTTATTTTCTCTCTAATTTATTCTAAACCCAGTTTTATAGCTTTTAAACAGGTGGTACAAACAGCTGCCGGAGGAGGAAGTCTTTCATTTACAGTCTTTTTCTTCATCATCCAGTGAAACCACAGCTGAGTTCATAATCAGGCCCTGTAAATTCAAGCAAGACTCCACAGATGAAAAGACGTCTTGATTCATTTATGCAAAAAAATTCTCCCTTGCCACTTGTTCAGAACAAACATTTCATTGACTTGGTTCAATCATTACGATCAGGCTACACTCCACCCAGCAGAGCAGACATTGCTGGATACAGTATACGAGAAGTAAATTGAAGAGCTTGCAAAAAAACATTGAGGGAACATTTGTTAATCTGAGTCTTGATGGGTGGAAGAATGTACAAAATGATCCAGTAATGTGTGTTTGTGAGACAAAAGAAGAAGATGGGGTTGTCTATCCTACAGAAACTATTAATACACCAGGAAATGCCCATACAGCAGAATACTTAAAAGTAGCAGCAAGCTATAACACACTGAACAAAAATTAAAGTGTCAAATGCATAGCTTTGTCACAGAAAATGCTGCAAATGTAGGAAAGAGGAGAAGAAATCAAGAGGATAATGAAGGGAACCTGAAACTTGTAAAATATGGGCGCAGTATTTGTTTGGATGCAGCGCTCATTTGAAGAGTTAAGTACAACTCCAGGAATAAAGAAAAATCTTGTTGAAATTGCAAAATTTTCCCCTAACAGCCACCTTGCTTCAGGTTCACTGAAAAGAACAGGAGGATCCAAACAAATTCTCCCTTGCGATGAAACGATGGAATTCAGTGGTTGACTGTTTTGATCTATTTAGTAAGAACTGGTCTATTCTAATGAGAATTTGTGAAGAAAATAGTGACAAAATAGATGGAACTATCACAGCCAAAGCAGTCAACAGACTAAAGAGAAATGTAGAAGATTCGCTGAATACACTGAAGCCTATTTCCATAGCCTTGGACAAACCACAGAAAGATCGCTGTTGTGCTGCTGATCGTTTAGGTGTAAATGTGAAACATGTCTTGATACGAGAACCGTTTGTATCCAAGACGTTTAAGGTTATTTTGTTTAATATAAATGTTATAATGCGGTTTTCTATTTTTAAATTCCAGTTACCATCCTAATGCAGCTTGATGCAAATCATGAGCAAAATGTTGTTAGTTATCTACGTAAATAAGCAGTATATTATTCACCATTTTCTTATTATACTAAAAATGTACAATTAGGAAACCGACAATATTAAGCTATCCGAGAACTAAATGGATGTGCTTGAGAGACCTTCCATAGTTGAACCAGCACATGGTTAAGTGGCACCAAGGATAGCAAAACACTTTACGAAAGTGACACTACAGCACTAATGGGTAGCAGCATAAATGGCCTCCTGAAAAGAGAACACAGTTGCCTACTCAATACCCTCTATTCCTTCTTAGAGGGTGGTCTATAGTCATACCACTATGTTTACTATGTACTTCCCATAACTACCTTTCCCATTCTCTATTAATATAGGTGTTTGCCTCATGGGTGTCTGCGGAACCCACCTGTGCTGTGAGAATAAGCTCATTGATGATATGAGCTGCGTGCTGACACCGATCAGGAAGCCCCATGACCTGCGCGACTCTTTCAGGACTAATCCCATCATCTGTGGAGGGAGAGGTGACAAAGACTTAATTAAAAAGGGGAAAAGACCCACCCACCAAATGAAGCTTCTTTCCAGTATGGCTATAGCCAATGTTTTCCCATAGGTAGATCTGTTGTGTTAGACCTGCCATCTTTCTCCTCTACCTTCGGCCCTTCCCCCATCCCACCTACGAACCCATGCTGATTATCTGAAAAGAGTCTAATAGTGGAAAGGTAACACTTTCACATGCAACATGATAAACCTTGAAAGAGATTGCTATATTCTTAATAGGCTAAAGGTAGCCAAGTGACCCAGAGGAAATTATTTGAATTAGTCAAGTCCTGATCCCCAAAGACCAGGAATATCCTGGAGTACTTTAAAGCCAGGAAAGAAGGTTTTTCCATAATCCAATTCTTTTTATCAATTAGATACAAGACCAAGACATTGCTGCCATAACGTCTAACATTTTGAAAATGAGGTGTATACAATTTCTTTCCAGTCTCGCAGGCAACAAGCAGAAAACCTCTGTAAAAACTGCATGAGGAACCAAGGAGGTGGCATGTCATTTTAAACTGTTGTTAGAAAGGGACACTATCTACTGTGCCGCTGTAAGGTTTCCAGTGTAGTCGCTCTTTGCCGACAAGAGAGCTCTCCTGCCAGCAAAATAAAAGTGCACACAAAAAAAAGTGCTGTCCACACCTGTTGGATGGGGTGTGTTTTTTTTCACACCCCGTGACTGACAAAAGTTTTACCGATCGAAGTGCAGCGTAAGAGACAGACACTGCCTAAGTAACTACAAGCAGACAGAAAACTAGCTGCTGTCGATATGCACTAAGCAATAAAACTGGGCAGTCCCTGTTTCGCACAGTGATCAGAAAGCAACAGACCTTTGTTCTCACACAAACCTGGTTTAAACTGAATTCTAACGCCAGCATCGTTCTGAATCTTTTTGATCATTTCTCCATTTCTTCCTATTACAATTCCAACAGCAAACCTGGGCACAGAGACCTGATGGGAAAAGAAAAGCAGTGTGAAAACTCAGAACGGGCATATATTCTACTAGTTTTACAAGAGGAGTATTCATCCTGCTTATGTACCATGCCAGGCCAAATGAAGCAGCTCCAGGGATAATGTCTTATCCCTCTTAAGCACAAGCGTACGGGTAATTTTCAATCCCTATTATTTCCACTGGCCATAAATCCCTTCCCCTAGCAAAATTAGGCCTCTACGTTACAAGAACGGCACTTCCAAAAAACAATTTTGGAAGAGATGGAAGTGCCACCCGCAAGCCCAAACAAATGCCCTCTCTGGAAAGCTGGTGAGCCTCTTCTGGTGGATGGGTGCAATATATTTAAAGGCAGGGAGCATTGTGAAGGAAATAAATCTCACTGGCAATGTTTGACGTTAAATGGTCTCCATCCCTCACCCTGGGGAGGTAACCATAGCACCTGTGAAAAGAACATACCTCTATGCTCCCTCCTCCCATTCTAGAGCTGAAATCACTTCGTACGCCTCGGAAATCTGCCTGATCTTTCTCTCGGATGATCTCCAGTACCATTTCCCTGGCTTGCTGTGGGGAAAAAAGTTATGGTTACCTTTTAACTCATGTCTATCCCACTTCCCATCTTGGTGCTCAGGGCCTCAATGATTAGGTGGCATCAAGCAGAATTGCTTCTTATGTTAAGCAGACTGAAATTCCTTCACTTGGGATTTCTTTCACCATTTTAATGGAGATCTGTTTTGTATTGCATCCTCCTTCCTCATTAGCAATTCGATAGCTTTTTAGAAGGAAGATCCCCGTGTGCAATTGTTTAAAGTGTCTTTCAAAAAACATGGACATTTGTTTCTAAAATATAATCTTAACTGGGACTTTAATTTCCTTAAGACCCTTCCCGCTGAACAGAACTCAACCCCTTTTTCTGAAGTAGCTATCACAGGAAAGGTTGACATGGAAAGAAATCAAGTTATTGGCATGATTTAATAAAAGTGCCATTTTCAAAATTATCTGCCAAGTGCAACTACTGTAGCATCCAGAGTCTGTTAGGTGCTGTGCAACCAGCTAATCCCTGTCCTGAAGGGTTTACAGTCCAAGATCCCTTAATTCTGATTTGCATGGGATTTACTGCTCAGGAAGAACATGGAAAATATGCTGAAGCACATCCAGCAAGACAGAGGGGCCGTCTAGAGAGTGTAAGTGACAGGCAAGACGCAGTTTGGTTGAAAATGTAAGAGCGCTTTTAAACTTGTCTTACGGATCTACACTTTTGTAATGCTAGTTTATGAATCATCATTCATAAAATTGAAAGCTGTATTACTAGCTAGATACAGCTAGGAGTGTAGGAAAGGATATTAGTGTTCTTCAGGAAAGACTTGAAACACCCTATCATTGCAGGGGTTTCTAAAGGCAACCAGACACTCAGCTCCCACAGAAAATCAATAGGAGCTGGGTGCCGAACACTTCTGAAAGATCTCACCCATTGTTCCTATGCTTGGGCAGGAACTGAAAATTTAACTTTAGCTGTTGGGTGCTACATGGTGCAACAAACTGCTGTACCAGCCTTTTAATGTGTTGAGAGTTGTCTAAATTTAGATTAGTGTGCCAGCCTCTAGTAAGGCACCTCAAGCACAAATTGGTATAACTGGTAGACTAAACATCCACTATGAAGCATCCTACCACCTCCGGTGGGATCGTGGGATTAAGCTCTGAAGTCACGACTATATGTTTTAAGTACCTAGCACAATAGAGGCCCTGGATGCAACTGCAATATAACTATTGAATACGCTTAAACTTTGGTGCCATGAATTGTTCTGCTTTCAGATTACAAGTGTTAACTGGCTGTCTGAGGTATTAAAGGTTCTGTTAGTACAATTATGCAGAATCACATGAAGTGTTTTTACTCCATACCTGTACTTTAAAAGCATCTCCAGTAATACGGAGAGGTTTATCTGCTCCCGTCGGTAATGGGCCATCTTGGATCATAACCATTTTCACACCTGTTCGCTCCTGCAAAAGCCACACAACACTTGAATAAGCATGGTCCCTTGAATAAGCATGGTCACAGTTAGTGACCAAAGTTTGGACACCTAACATTTATATGGGTCAGATCAGCAGCCTTCCAGCATGCTATTTTTTAAGCAATCTATGATACTCTGCTTTACAAAAGACCACAACTGCTCTACAGCCTGAGCACAGGACTGCAAGGAGGTGCGCTTCTCACCATACCACATTCTAGTGCAGAGACCACTGCAAAGAGAAAATCCAACTTTTGTCTTTCCATCCAGGCGTAACAGTGAGATAAGAACCTCTCTAAACACACAATTACACAGTGTGCCAGATACCTTTGGATGATACAGCCAAAATTAAAGCTCTCAACAAAAAAATCACAATTACTATCTTGGCATAAATGTATTTCTGAAGCCCTTTATAGCCTTGAAAGATTTGTAGAGTATACCAAGATAGACAGAGAAAAAAATATATCCAGGAACACTGATTTACACACAGATGTGTTCATGGGAGTGGAGGGAGAGAAGAGGAGATTAAATACCAACCTCACCTACAGAAGTAATGAATTTGATAAAACATATCCTGGGGAACAGCACAGCAGGCATTAAGCAGCTTCACCAAGGCACCTGAATACTGACCTGGGACACCCTTTGCTATGCCAGATGAGGGCCCTTCCTAAACAGTGCATACATCTTGCCACAGCTGGGTGCTTCTCTTATGATGCAGACAAACGTCCACTAGGAGCTCAACTGAGGACAAGATCATTCCTTTTGTAACTCAGGGCTGGATTTGAACCCAGATCTCTGAAGGTGAAAGACTAACATTAACCTCCTACAGCAGGCACTAGAGGCTTTTTATTTTCAAGCACGCTTTCTTGAGCTCTATTGGGTCACATACCACCTTCTTAAGTTGTTGTGAAGTGAATGGATGGAACGCCAAGCCCACATACTACAGTGGTACGTGTACTACCATTTGGGAACCCTTAATCTAGAGGATCTTTCCCCTAGCAAAGTTCCTTGAAGTAAAAACATCTTGCACACCTGCAACTGTTTTATTGTTTCGCCTCCTTTGCCAATGACTAGACCCACTTTGGATGCCGGGATCAGAATCTCCTGGATCGTACTGTTGCCATCAACATCGTTGTGAAAGCCAGGGCCATTCCGACAGCGATCCACTATCTGCCCCAATAGCCTCTTCGCTTGTCTTTGAAAAGAAGCAAGGAAAATGACCATTAGACAACACTGTTTCATCTGCCCAAGAAACCATTGGAATGTGAGACATTTGGGGAGAGGAGAAGTGAAGAGATGAGAAGAAAACCATGGTTAGCACAATGGCTTTTATGCTTTGGAACACCAATTCCCCTTCACAACACCTATCGGCACTTTGATTTCTAAAAAGTGGAAAAGGGAGGAAGGAATGCATCTTGACTCCTTTGATGCTTACACATTTTTAAAGCATTGGCTTCACCACAGCTGGGGTGTACCACATTTGAAGTGGTACTGTTAATATAAATCTTCGTAAATCGCAACCACAACCTCACTTCCTGACTGAGGCAGGCAAGGAGTGCTGCTCTGATACAGTAACACAGCAGGTTAGACCACCACCCTCTGATATGACACAGAGCCACAGGTGAATCCCTTCTTCTCGGCCTACTCTCCCCCAGCAACACTGGCAGGGTTTGCTTGCAGCCTCCCATCCTAGCTGGGGCTGCTAAGGTTGTACAAAAAATAGGGCAGGGACCTCATGTAGCAGCGAGGGCAGGAGATTAAGTGCTGCTTGTGAAAGCAGGCGGATGACAAGGCCAGGAGATCACTCCCTGGCAGCTTTATAATGGCTGAGCTGACTGGCAGTGGCTTTCCATCTTCATGTTAATTGCTGCCATCTACCTGCCCCTTCCCTTCACTCAAGAGGCTGAAGCCAGGTCAGCAGCCAGCCATTTGCACTTGGGTGCTGTTCTTCCTCTCTCCTCCACTTAGCATCCAACCATCTCATGTACATCAGGACTCTGAGGGAATTGTCCCCTTTGGATGCATTCCCCTGGGAGTGTCAACTCAGGGGGTTGGGGGGTCCGATGGCCTGCGTCCAACAGCAGAGAATCACTCCAACCTCGGGCCTCAATCAGGAAGCAAGGCAGGAGCTTGACTTTCCAGAAGTAGATTTCAGATTTGAAATTAACAGCTGTGTTCTTGGTTGTTTTTAAAAACAAGCAAGAAGAAAAAAAAAAAAAAAAGCACAAAACCAATCTTAAGTATTCATAAAGCCCTTAAGTTAATTTTTTTGATGGAAAAAGTAAGGGAGAGATTAAAACAGAGGGCACACTGAAACACAGAGCATCATCTGCCCTCTGTTTTAATCGTCTTCCTTACTGTTTCCATTAAAACATAATTTTATTCAAAATTTAAGGGCTTTATGAATACTTAAGATAATAGGTGGTTGTTTAAAAAAAAAAAAAAAAAAAAAACTATTATTGCCCTGTTATTGAGCCTTCTTCCTCATTCAGCTTCACAAGTCTAAAGAAGTGGGATCACTTGAGACAGCCTTGGATAGGAGTATGTGTTGAGCTGCATATTTCAGAACTGTAGGTGTTAAGATCTGCTCTTACCCATTTTCCCCAAGTGTCTCATCAGGCATTACAGCTTTTTAGTATTTTGCTCTTGTTCTGAAATATTCTTCACTAGAGGAAAAAAA